AAAGAGCTTGCAGGGGTCCCTGGGCCCCTCCTTGGGGCTCCCACAGCACCTGGGCTCCTCACCAGATGGCGGCAGGCTCCAGGGGCTGCTTCCGCCAATGGGTTGGGGGTCCCGGAAGGCAGAGCCTGCAGCTCACTCCCCTCTGACGCCAGCACAGTGCCGGGCACGTAAGAAGGCGTTCCAAAGAACGTTTACTGAACCAGCAAGTGAGGCAGAGAGATGGGGGCTGGGAGATCCCACCCCGAGCAGCTGGAGCCGGGGCCTCGGCAGTCAAGAACATGGAAACTTATTTTCCTCGGATTCCATCTTTTACAATTAAATGCTCATGGTCTCTGCCTGACCTCAGGGCTTAGAACCAGCCTATGGCAAGAGGCTCTGCTGGGCCACACACAGCACTCGCCACTAGCTGGGCATTTCCTTCTCATTTCCTCCCAAGGTCCACCCTATAAGGTAGGTTACCCTGTCTGAAGGCTTAGGACAGACTTTAAAAGTTGCTCAAGATATACTACTAGGGCTTCCCTGGTGGCGCAGTGGTTGAGAGTCCGCCTGCCGATGCAAGGGACACAGGTTCGTGCCCCGGTCCGGGAAGATCCCACATGCTGCGGAACGGCTGGGCCCGTGAGCCATGGCCGCTGAGCCTGCGCGTCCGGAGCCTGTGCTCCGCAACAGGAGAGGCCACAACAGTGAGAGGCCCGTGTACCACAAAAAAAAAAAAAAAAGAAAGAAAGAAAAAGATATACTACTAGTATGAGGTACAGCTGAGATTCACATGTGGACACGTCATCCTTCAGAGATCGTATTTCGAACCACCTTCACTCATTCAGCAAACACCAGTGAGCCACCGTCAGGCGCTTCCCTAGGTGCTCGAAACACAGCTGTGAACAGAACCTACCCAGCTCCATGAGAGCTTTCATGCTAGTTAATGAGGAGACAGACAAAAACCAACCAAATAACACCGCGTGGTAGAGTAGGATCGCCACACTTTTTCTGTTAAAAGGCCAGACAGTAAACACTTTTGGCTTTGCTGGCCATATGGTCTTTGTGGCAACTTAGCTCTGCAACAGGGGAGATATGTAAATGAGTGGGTGTGGCTATGTGCCAATAAAACTTTATTAATGGACAGTGAATTTTAAATTTCATATAATTTTCAAGTGCCACAAATGTTATTCTTTTGATTTTCTTTTTCAAGCGCCACAAATGCTATTCTTTTGATTTTCTTTTTCAAGTGCCACAAATGTTATTCTTTTGATTTTCTTTTTCAATCATTTAGAAATATAGAAACTATTCTTAGCTTGCAGGTCACACACACACAGGTGGTGGCCCGGTTTTGGTCCATGGTCTGTACTGTGCCAACTCCTGGGAGACAGAGCAGCTGGGGTATGTGAGGGGGAATTTAGACAGAGCAGCCAAGGAGGTCTCCCCAAGGAGACGACACTGGAGCAGACCCCTGAATGAGGCAGGCAGGGAGCCCCGTGCTCCTGGCAAAGGGAACAGCATGTGCAAAGGCCCGGCAGCATGAATGCAGGGGAGGATGGAGGCCAAGCGGCAGGAGAGAGGTCTCTGCGATTAACGGGAACAAGATCACGTGGGCCTCCAAGCCCTGGTGAGGACTTTAGTCTAAATTTGACATCAAACCACTGGGCCCTGGCACTTACTAGCTTTGTGACCTTGGGCAAGTTATTGAACTTCTTTGTGCCTCAATTCTTTACAAAATGGGAACAGTAATGGTACCTGTCTCAGAAGGCGTAGGACTCTGTGAGCATAATGCCGAAAGGAGTGTTAGCTTCTGATATTAATATTGGAGCCCAGCTGGAGGAGGCACAAGCTGGGAGAGGTGGTGATGACTTTTGTCAACTCACCCACGATGTCCACCACGTCCGGCCGAATGAGCGGCTCCCCGCCCGTGAGTCGGATCTTGTCTACACCTTCTTTCACAAAGAGGCGGGCCAGGGTTAGGATCTCCTCTGTGGTCAGCAGGTCTGCCTTGGGGGTCAGAGGGACACCCTCCTCGGGCATGCAGTATTGACCTGAGGGGAGGGAGGGGATGTGGAGGAAGGAAGTGACTGCAGCGGTCAGGCTGCGATGTCACCAGTCCCAACTCCCGCACCAGGCCACAAGTGTCTCCTGAACCCCACCCCAGCCATGAGGAAAGACCCGGCCAAGTATGAGGTGGCACAAACCCTAGGCCAGATTCTCTTTGGGGCTCACCACTCTCACCTACAAAATTTAACACCCCTTCCCCAACTGGCCTTGCTGTCCCTCAGGGCTTAAAGATGATAAATGAGGCTGACAGCTCAGCCTGGCTGGAGGTAGGGCAGGCCGAGACAATGGCCCCTCAGTGAGGGGCCGCTGGGCGGGGCCTGCCTGGAAGGCCAGGGCCCTGGGCCCATTGCTTCTGCCATCATTCATCTCCTTCATTTCATCTGGTTTTGACAAACAGGGACCCTTCTCTATGTGTCCTAAGGTGAAGGAGGCTGGGAGGTGCTCCCTGGCCTGGGCAAAGCTGCTCTCCTCTGTGGCTACATACGTTCTCACACCCAGTTTGTCTCCTACAGGCGATCATCAGTCCCATTTCACAGGTTGGAAAACTGAGGTACCACCTGTTCAGGGCGAGGTAGCAGAAGGGGATAAATGAGGCGAGCCCTGGCCAGTGAGGGGGGCACAACCTCCTCCCATCAGTTCCCATGGTACGGGTTTAATCAGTACCAGTGGTCAGGATCCGCTAGGGGGTCATTCAGTCAAATCAGTGAAGGGCCCAGAATTGGTCTTTTAAGATGGAACAGATCAGGTAACAACGTCAGAACATCAGTACTGCACGTAATGAGTATCGTTTGGTTAAACATTTACTACACATGCACTATTTACTGGGCCATGAAGTAAATATATTTCTTATTGTGAGCTACAGTGAAAGGAAGGCAGGACAGATGGACAAACACGCTTCGGAAGCCCCTCCAGCGGTGGATCTGGCCCAGAGCACTCCGTGGGGTTATGAAACAAGGACTCTGTGTACTAGCCTGGCCCCAACTTGTCTCATGGGACTGGGGTTGGGGTGTCTTTATAGCTGGCACTGCTGCCTATCTTACTTGTTTACACCGTCCAGCAGTCCCCATGCCACATCCTGAACCGTGGGGACCGCAAGGAAACAGGAGGGAGGGGAAAGAG